CAGTTGCAAATGACATCAGACAATCACCCAAAGGCGAATGGGCAGGCAGAGCAGTTGAACGACGCTGTACAACACCTGCTGAGGCATTACATCAAGCCAAATCAGGTGGACTAGGATGAGAAACTTGCTCTCACCGCCAGCCTCTACAACAATGTTGTGCACACTGCACAGCACTACGAGAGTGAGCCTGAACAACTTGCTACTGACTTTCAAGCCTAGGCTGCCTTAAAGTTTGGACTTCCTACTATCTGAGAATCAGTCATCTGCTGCACCAGGGACCTTAGAGTTTGCTTATCGATATGAGCGCCTGATGCAGCAGGCTGTTGAGCAAATGCATAAAGCACAGGCGGCGATGATAGAGTCAAAGAACAAACACCGCCGTCCATCTACATTCCAGGTACTAGGAGAAAGAGTTTGGGTTAAGTCCTCAGAACTGGGATAGGAACACGGGATCTTCCGTAAGCTCATGCAACAGTACTTTGGACCATGGGAGGTACTAGATGTCGTTGGGGATGAACCGGATGACCTTTCTTCACATCCCTGGTCACTTACTCACTTACCCTGTTTTCCGCTCTTCCAAGCTCGCACCTACGTTGCGATTCGTACTCACCCCCGTACGAGTACAAGTTGTACTCATTTTTTGTACGCTACTTGTACTCGAGGCCCGTACGAGTTTTTAAAATTTTTTTTACTGTTTTTTTTTTCTCCAATTTTAATAAGAATCTGCAGATGGTGCTCAGGCAAATGTTGCTTATCTTGGGATTTTACATCACATATATTTTTTTCGGATTTTTTGGATGACTTTTTTTTTTTTTTTTTTTTTTTCCGTACGGGTCGTACGAGGGCGTACAGGTTCCCGTACATATATTATCTGTACGTTTCGTACGGAAAGGCCCCATACGTGTACGTTCGGTAACGTAGGCTCGCACCTTCCAGGGAAACCGATCAGTTTCCCTCTCGTCGCTCAATGCTGCCCCCAAGCATGAATGGAGAGGTCGACATCGACGACATCGTTGACCACAAGGAAATGTCAGTTCCAAAACCGACAGGCAGGGGACGTCCTCCGAAACCGAAACTTCAGTACCGAGTTCGGTTCATACATCATACTGATCCTAAGGAGTATAGATGGTTCACAAAGGAGGAACTGATGCAGACCGCTCCGCAGGTTGTCACTCAATATGAGAAGTCTCTGCAAAAAGGAAAGCGCCAGATTATCGAATATTGAACTTCTCAGAGGACTAGCGAAGTATGGAGGAGGGAATGCAAGGCATAGGCCTCGATAAGCCCTATCGGGCCCCTATTTGCAACAGGTCGGCCGCCCTAAGTGAAGGCAGGCTCGACAGACGACAAGAGGCCTATTTTGGACTACGCAACTAAGGGAAATTCAGGCAGTTGCGCAGCGCCAATTGGTTCAAGGCGCCCAGGCCCTGACCACCTTTACCGAATGTATCTAAGTCAGGCCCTGGGCGAGATACGCAACATAGACCCAACTCAGACAGCGGGCAGTTGGGCACGGGTAACTGTCGGTGGCCCTGGGTCTGATTTGTTTGGTCTGAGGCTCAGCCTCCCTGGGCCTACCGGAAGCTTCTGGGCAGGGACCCAGCGCAGCCAGGCTGCACGCAAGCAGGCTGGCCACTTCCATTTAGGAAAGGGTCAGCCCACGCATTGGACATTCGGGCATTGGCTGCATGCTGCACAAGCGCTGCTGCGCTAACGCTGGCCAGGCTCACGCGCTCACGGGGGAGCTGGAAGGAGCAGGCAGTCATAGCTGAGCTGCGCTGCTGTATGCTGGATGGGGCGCATGGTGGTCCTTGGATGAAAGTGGCATCTGTGAGTTGGGGAACGAGGTCGTGAGTGATATGAGAGACATACCTGGTGCTTGAGGCGTGCGGCATTGGCTGAGATCTGCTCGTACTTGGGAAGGTTGACGTCATCAGCGGCATTGTAGTCTAGGCTAGATAGGATCTGCCATTCGTAGTCTGGCGCCGAGCGTCAGATAGGATATCTTTTTCTTTCTTTCTTTCTTTTTTTCCTTTTTTCTAAGGAAACGCCCCTGCCAGTGTTAGTGCTGCTGATAAGAGCAGAGACCACTAACACCTAGGGAGAGGCTCCATCTATTGGTGGGGAGCATCACCTGCTGGAAAATGGGTCCAGCGCCCCAAATTACAGAAAGAAGAATGTCTGAGAGTGTCTGAGTATATCTGAGAATGCCTGAGAATGTCTGAGAATGTCTGAGAAAGATGAGGACTGAGACTGTGGGGCCTGCCAGCATTGATTGCCCTACAACCCAGGGGATTGACTGAGCAGGCCTGTATACTGCCATTGCCTTCTGTATCTCTTCACCCTCGGAAAAGGGCGCCAGATAAGCATTTAAGGGCTGATACTATCTACTGACTACTCCCTCCAGACCCTGCCCGATGTCACAGGCTGCTCAGGCTATCCGAAATGCCAGCATTGACTACCTCGACTGAGCCTATAGAAAGAGAAGATTGGCGGGGTCCTCCCCAGGGGGCTCCAGGGAGGAGTTCCGCGTGTGGGCGTCCATACAGAAATAGAGGAGATCATAGAGGAGATCAGATATCGCATTCAGGACAGAATTTCTGCCAATGACAGGGCATGGGGTGGGAAGGGATCTCAACATTGGTTCTTCGTTGATGATGATGAGACTATTCCAGCATTGTCAATTATGAGCTTTTGGTGTGCTCTTATTTGGTGAAACTCGTGATGCAATTCTGCTATTGGTTCGAGGTCACCACTATCTGGTCTTATGTGTATGATGCTGTTTGATTTCTGAAGTTCGCTCTTGCTCATCTTCCTTGCAATTCGGTGTTCCGGGGAAGAAGGTAGGCTACTAGGCCGGGTATGTTCGAGGAATCATGTTGATATCTCAAGGCCGCCACTCATCGCACCCCTGCAGTGTTGTGCTCCCCAGACTGAGCGCAACAATGCAACAGTGTGGTTACTCTGGTGAGCGGAAGAAGACAAGGCCCCCGCAGTGTGGTAATGCACCATTTCTGTTCTGGCCATACTGCTCGGTCAATCTCCTAGGGCATTCCAGGGAAATCAATGTTGGCAGTCCCTAAAAAAAAAAAAAAAAAAAAAAAAA